AACGATAACCTCCACCACCAGGACGACCTCGCTGAATAACCCACTCACGAAGCTGCCGAGGGGTGGGGTCGTCCGGGAGAAGCAGTGCCCGCTGCTGTCCACCCCTGGCCGCAGCGACTGCCGCGGAAGTGGCCATGACAGACAGTGACTGTCAGGAGTAGGTCCAGCACCTCCAGCTCCTACAGCGCCAGCAGCACCTCCTGAACTCCCAGCAGCACCTCCTGCACTCCCAGCAGCACCTCCTCCACTCCCAGTAGCACAAGTAGCAGCAGCAGCAGTAGTAACAGCAGCAGGGCGATTCGGTGGGGGTGGGAGGCCGCTCCTCCACCACTCCCAGCAGTACTCCCTCCAGTAGCAGCAGTAGCAGGGCGGCTCGGGCAGCAGCAGCAGACCGAGCAGCAGCAGCAGCAGCAGTAGACCGAGTAGCACTAGCTGTAGCAGTAGTAGTTGCAGTAGCAGCAGCAGTGACAGCTCGGGCTGGGCGGCGCGGCTCGGACACAGTGACAGAGCAGCAGTAGCACTAGCTGTAGCAAGTGCAGTATTAGGATCTGCAGCAATAGCACTAGCTGTAGCAAGTGAAGTAGTAGGAGCTGCAGCAGTAGTACTAGCTGTAGCAGCAGTAGCTTCAGTCAAGCAGCAGTAGCTTCAGTCAGGAGCAGCTGTAACAAGTGCTGGAGTAGGAGCTGCAGCAGTAGCACTAGCTGTAGCAAGTGAAGTAGTAGGAGCTGCAGCAGTAGTACTAGCTGTAGCAGCAGTAGCTTCAGTCAGGAGCAACTGCAGTAAGTGCTGGAGTAGGAGCTGCAGCAGTAGCACTAGCTGTAGCAGAAGTAGCTTCAGTCAGTAGCAGCTGTAGCAAGTGCAGTAGTAGGAGCTGCAGCAGTAGCACTAGCTGTAGCTGGAGTAGCTTCAGTCAATATGAGCTGTAGCAAGTGCTGGAGTAGGAGCTGCAGCAGTAGCACTAGCTGTAGCAGTCGTAGCTTCAGTCAGTAGCAGCTGTAGCAAGTTCCGTAGTAGCAGCAGCAGCAGTAGCACTAGCTGTAGCAGCACTAGCTTCAGTAGCAGCAGCAGTGAGTAGCGCTAGCTGTAACAGGAGTAGCGTCAGTAGCAGCAGCAGTGAGTAGCGCTAGCTGTAGCAGCAGTAGCAAGGAGGAGCAGCTGCAGCAAGTAGCAGCAGCAGCAGCAAGGAGGAGCAGCTGCAGCAAGTAGCAGCAGCAGTTGCAGGGCAGCAGCAGTTCAGGCGCAGCAGTGTAGCAGCAGCAGCGAGTGCAACAGTAACACGGGCCGCGTGCGGGCCAGGCGCGGGCTGTAAGGGCTGCGTGCGGGCCTGGCGCGGGCTTTACGAGCTGGGTGCGGGCCTGACGTGGGCTGTACGGGCTGCGCGACGGCCAGGCGCGGGCTGTACGGGCTTCGCGACGGGCCTACGCGGGCTGTACGGGCTTCGCGACAGGCCTACGCGGGCTGTACGGGCTTCGCGACGGGCCTACGCGGGCTGTACTGGCAGCTAGGGCGCGGTCAGGGGGGGTCGCACGTGACTAGGAAGGAAAATCGCGTCTAGGGCAGAAAAAGGAACCGTCTCGCCTAGAGCACGGTTTCGAATTTCGCGTTTCTCCTAGGGGCGCGACTCGGGCAGTAGATCGAAATAGTAGTGGTGGGCCCTTTTAAAAATTCGGTCCTAAGGAGCATTGTGCTCTTAATACCATGTTAGAATCACTAGCTAGGTGAGGAATGATGATTAGGTAAGGGAGAGGGAGTACAAGAGTGTCGAGAGAATTGGGTTGTACCCTCTAAGGGATGACCCCTACACAACCTAGAGTGAAATAGATATAACTCTATGTTTTGACATTGCGCCCAACCTTCGATCTCTCGCCAACTTCTCTTCCCCCCACCTCAAGTTCTCCATTTTTTTCTTCCAGCTTGTGTTGTCAGTCACAATTCCCACTTCGGAGTTGCTTTCTTCACGTGGGTCTGCGAGATAATGACCGTTCGAAAAAGCACACGTAGGCAAATCGGAAACACCCAAGGAGGATATTTTTTCCATGGATTTCCGATTTTGAATGACGTGGTCCAAGCCGAACCGTTCCTTCTTTTAATTTCTTTTCCCAGTTAGAGAATATTCCATGCTGGCATTCTTTGGGACCACCGTAGAAGCCAGCAAGGCAGTTTTTTTACCGTTGAAGCTCAGCTCAAATCTACCGCGGCGCGAAAGTTTGGCCAAACATGACGTCAGCGATTCAAGCCCCACGGAAATTCGACTGCATGGCATTTTTCCTGTGAGCATTCCCATTTCGCAGAGGACTCTCCGATCATTCCAACATTTTGCCCTTCTCGACACATTTCTTATTCTCCAGGCCAATTTCAGTTCAGTGAAACCACGTCCACGCCACCAGTTCACTCGTCCAAGCCTTAATTTCCCTATTCGTTCCGCCGTCTGCACGATCACAAGACGGAGAGCAGCATTTTGTTCTCCTCTGTTCGCTGTACGCCTTCGTTTACTTCGGGAGTTCCACATTCACCACCCGCCACCAGCCTGTCAAACATTGTATATGTTTGTGTTCTGTAGGCTGTAATGGGTTTAGCCTTAGGGGGTACAATCTCTAGGGTTTCATACTTGTACTCCCAACTTTCCTAGTTCAACCACTTCTTGTTTCTGATATGGTATCAGAGCGTAGGTTACACCTAGGAACGCTTACCTAAGGGCCCACCTTTTCCGCTAGAAGCGCCCTCGAGCGCCTTAATGACGTAGCGCCCTCGAGCGCCTCTCTCCTAGTGCGCCCTCGTGCGCCTCTCCTTCTCCTGCTGCCCGTGCGCAGCTCGCTAGTGCCGCGCGCGGCCCTTTTTCTTTTAGCGCGCGTAGCCCACTAGCAGCCCGCGCGCGGCCTTTTCTGCGCGCGCGCCGACCACTAGCCGCCCGTGCGACCAGCGCCGCCCACGAGCAGCCCGCTAGCCACCCGTCGACCGGCCGTCCTGGCCGTCCAGAGCGCCGCAGCCCCGCCCGTAGGCCGCCGCGTCGCCCCTCTAGGCTGCCGTCCGCGCGCAAGTCAGGCCCACGCACAGTCGCGGCCCGCCCGCTACAGCCGCCCACGCGCACGCCCACCGTCGCGCAGTGCCGCGTAGCCCAGTCCGAGCCGAGCCGCGCCGCCCGAACCGAGCCGCGCCGCCCGAACCGAGCCGCGCCGCCCTAGCCGAGCCGCGCCGCCCTAGCCGAGCCACACCGCCCGAACCGAGCCGCGCCGCCCTACCCTAAACCCTAAACCCGTGATGCTCACGCTCGCCTAGCCGTTCGCAGCCACCTGCCGTTAGATGAGCGCGAACACTTCGGCCAGCATAAGACTGCTAAGGAGCTGTACGATGCTGTAGTTACGCGCTACTCATCCCCTGCCACTGCTGCGATAGGCCGTCTCTCACTGCCCTACCTCGTCCCCGATCTGTCCGCATTTGCCACTGTAGCTGACCTCATCACTCACCTCCGTACCAGTGACCTCCGCTACCGTGCCGCTCTCCCCCCCAATTTCCTAGCCAAGAACCCTCCCCCGATGTACCTCACCCTCTACCACCTAGTCACTCGCCTCCCTGACTCTCTTCGCGCTGTCAGGGACCACTTTCTCGCTCTCTCACCCACCGATCTCACTGTCGACCTGCTCGAGAAGGAACTCCTTGCAGCTGAGAAGAGCATTGTAGCTGTAGGTGCCTCTTGTGGCAACCCTCGCACTCCCTTCTTTGAGGGATGCTCCCCCTCCCCCCTTCTCCCCTCCATTGCATCTGCTGCTGCTGTCGACTACCTCGGTGCTGAGGAGGTCGGGGCTGCGTCTGCTCCTAGTTGGAGGCGCAAGAGCGGCAAGGGCAAGGGGGGCAAGGGTGGCGGAGGTGGAGGCGGGGGCGGCGGCAGTGGAGGGGGTGGAGGAGGCGGGGGTTGTGGCGATGGTGGGAGTGGTGCTGGTGGGGGGGGGGTCAGTGGCGGAGGAGGGGGTGGTGGCAGCGGCGGTAGTGGGGGTGGCGGGGGTGGCGGTGGTAGTGGTGGCGGCGGTGGAGCTGGTGGCGGGCGCGGTGGGGCGGTGCAGCAGCGTGGAGGGTTCAGTGGTGGCCAGAGGCAGCAGCAGCAGCGTCCCAGCGAGACCCCGACCTCCCAGCAGCTCCGTGAGTGGTACTCTCAGCGTGGGGGGTCTGGGGGTGGAGGTACCTGCCCGTACCTTATCCGCACAGGTGACCGCACTGGCCAGACCTGTGGGAGGTTCCACACGGCACACCGCTGCTTCTTTCGTCTCGACGACGCCTGGCGTGCACAGTTTCCTGACGCCACTGAGCTGCCCCGCTGGGCTGATCTGATGAAAAAGAATATTGATGTCTTTGCTCTTGACTTTGATGCTATCCTTGGCGCCATGTATGCATTGACTATTATTGGAGAGAGTGACCAGTACCTGCGTGTCCCGCCTGACCCGGGCATTAGGACCAGTGAGGCTGCCGCTCTAGGTGCCAGTACGTCTGTTGCCCCAGGTGCTGGTGAGACTGCCGCTCCAGGTGCTCGCGTGTCTGCTGCCCCAGGTGCTGGTGAGGCTGCTGCTCTAGGTGCTCGTGAGTCTGCGCCCTCTGGTACTGAGTCTACTGAGGCACTGCACACCTTCACACTGGACTCAAGTGCTTCTCGCTGTTTCTTTCGTGACCGCACTGCCCTAGAGCAGCTTGCTCGGCCGGTTGCTGTCTCCCTCGCAGACCCCTCTGGGGGTCCGGTCATTGCGACCTCCTCCACTGTCCTCCCTTGTCCTGCGGTCCCATCGGGCACACTGTCAGGTCTCTGCCTCCCCTCGTTCTCTACGAACTTGGTGGCAGGTAGTGCACTTCAGGACGGGGGTGTCCACCAGTTCACCCTTCCTACGAGCGTGTGACACACTGCACGTGTGCTCGGACGGGTCGCCACCTGGCTACCTTCACTCGGCAGCCGGGGTCGGACTTGTACACACTGACCACTGAGTCCCCTCAGGTAGCTGCGTCTGCGTCTGCGTCAGGTCAGCTGTCGGCCCCCTGCTCGTGTCGCTCCCTGGCGCACGAGACCGTCCTCTGGCACCACCGCCTTGGTCACCCGTCAGTGCAGCGCCTTCGTGACATGCACAAACGGTACCTTGTCTCTGGTCTGCCCAGGGTTCTCCCTCCCCTCCCACCCTCGCCTGCTCCTCCTTGTCTTCCCTGTGTCGAGGGGCGGCAGCGCGCCGCTCCTCACTCCTCCTCGTTTCCCCCGACGACTGCTCCCCTCCAGACGCTCCACATGGACGTGTGGGGCCCAGCCCGCGTTCGTGGACAGGGTCACGAGAGGTACTTCTTGATAGTTGTTGACGACTACTCGCGCTACACCACGGTCTTCCCCTTGCGCACCAAGGGTGAAGTCCCTGATGTCTTGATCCCTTGGATCCGCGCTGCCCGTGTCCAGCTTAGCGAGAGGTTCCACTCGGACTTTCCTGTCCTGCGTCTGCACTCTGAGAGAGGTGGGGAGTTTTCCTCCGACCTCTTGAGGGCCTACTGTCAGGGGCAGGGCATTGAGCAGTCGTTCACGCTTCCGGCCTCTCCACAGCAGAATGGGGTTGCTGAGCGCCGCATTGGCCTGGTCATGGAGGTCGCTCGTACCTCCTTGATCCATGCGGCTGCCCCCCACTTTCTGTGGCCGTTTGCGGTCCGATACGCTGCTCATCAGCTCAACCTCTGGCCCCGTGTCTCCGCTCCGGAGGCTTCGCCGACACTGCGTTGGACGGGAGAGGTTGGCGATGCGTCTCGTTTCCGGGTCTGGGGATCTCGAGCTTTTGTTCGCGATACGTCCGCGGACAAGCTCTCCTCCCGCGCTGTTCCTTGTGTCTTCCTTGGCTTTGTCCCGGACGCGTCTGGTTGGCAGTTTTACCACGCCACCTCGCGCCGTGTCCTACCTTCTCAAGACGTCACGTTCGACGAGTCGGTCCCCTACTACCGCCTCTTCCCCTACCGCACTGCCACGCTCCCCCCCCCCGCCTCTCTTCCTCGCACCAGGTGCTGCTGTGGTAGACCCCCTCCCCCCTCAGGGTGCCGCTCCCTCAGGTGTGTCCCAGGTAGACCCGGTTGAGCCTGTCGAGGTAGATGTCGACTCTCGTCCTGCTAGGGGTGCTGAGCCTGGGGGTGCGGAGCCTGGGGGTGCGGAGCCTGGGGGTGCTGAGCCTGGGGGTGCTGAGCCTGGGGGTGCGGAGCCTGGGAGTGCGGAGCCTGCGGGTACAGAGTCTGGGGGTGCTGAGTCTGGGGGTGCTGAGTCTGGGGGTGCTGAGCCTGAGAGTGCTACGTCCGAGGGTACTGAGCCAGAGGGTGCTGCAACTGACCGTGCTGCACTTGGAGGCGCTCCCTCCTCACAGCAGCTGCGGGAGTGGTACTTGCAGTACTGCAGCCTCAGGAGGGGCGCTTCTGGAGCCAAGGGTGCTGCTGGAGCTGGTGCTCGTGGTTCCCCTCCTCGTCGGGAGCCGCCCTCTGCCCAGCGGCTCCGAGAGTGGTACGCTCGGCGCTGCAGTCTCCGGAGTGGCGCTACTGGTGTCGCGGACCCTGGAGCTGGAGCTGGTACTGGTGCTGGTGCTACTGACGCTGGAGCTGCTGGAGGCACTGCTGGCGCTGGAGGCACTACTGCTTCTGGAGGTGCTGCTGGCGCTGCTGGAGCTACTGGAGGTGCTGGAGCCTCTGGTCCTGGAGGTGCTCGTACATGCGGTACTGGAGCTGCTGGGATTGGGGGTTCTGCTGGAGCTGGAGCTGCTGGAGGTGCTGCTGGTGCTGGAGCTGCTGGTGGTGCTGCTGGAGGTACTGCTGGTGCTGGTGCTGCTGGAGGTGCTGCTAGTGCTGGAGCTGCTGGTGGCACTGCTGGAGGTGCTGCTGGTGCTGGTGTTGCTGGAGGTGCTCCTGGTGCTGGAGGTGCTAGAGCTGCTGGAGCTGCTGGTGGTGCTGCGGGAGTTGTAGCTGGAGACTCTGGAGCTGAGGGCACTGGTGCTGTCTCTGCTGGTTCAGGAGGAGCTGCGCGGCCGCGGCCGTACTACGTTCCGCTCCTTCAGCAGGTTCTTGGCCTCCCGCCCTCTCCTAGTCCTACTCCTCCCCTACCGAGTCCACCGCCTGTCCAGTCGCAGTCACAGTTACAGCCAGTCTCTCCGCTGCCTGGTCCTTCTCCTTACACTGCGCCGACGAGTAGTCTTACGGAGCGTCGTGAGCCTGAGTCTCGTCCTCCGTCACCTGAGTCTCGTCCAGAGTTGCCTGAGTCGCGTCCAGAGTCGCCTGTCCGCGCTGTCCACACTGGTCGTCGTGCTCCGCGTCAGCGTCCTCCTCCTGTCCTTGGCACTCACTATATGACCCTGCGTCCTTCCACTTCTCCACAGCGTGTCCCTCTGCCGTCTCCTCCTGCGTCCTCTCTTCCTGACGTTGCTGACCCAACGTCTGACTCCCTTCGTGCTGCCAGTCCTACTGTCACACGTCTCCTCGCCACTGCTGTCACTGACCCTTCCTTTGAGTCCTCTGCTGCGTCTGCTCTAGTCGCTGAGCTTGTTGACTTTGCTGCCGCCTGTCGTCTAGACTACGCTGCTAGCCTTGTTGCTGAGTCTGAGTCTGTCTGTCCTCCGTCCGTCGGGGGTGAGTGTACTCTTCGTACGGACGTCCTTGAGGACAGACAGGAGGAGTTTGAGTGCTTTGCCGCTGCTTTACCTCATATCGTGTCCATGCTGATTGCCCCTGAGGGAGACCCGGATGCACCAGACATCCCGACCCCGCGCTCTTACGCAGAGGCGATAGAGGGTCCCTACTCTTCTCAGTGGCAGACAGCCATGGACGCAGAGATGGCTTCCTGGAAGTCCACAGGCACCTACGTCGACGAGGTTCCCCCACCTGGGGCGAACATCGTCAGTGGTATGTGGATTTTCAGGGTGAAGCGGCCGCCGGGTTCTCCGCCTATCTTCAAGGCGCGTTACGTTGCACGAGGCTTCAGTCAGCGAGAGGGAGTTGACTTCTTCCAGACCTTCTCCCCGACCCCGAAGATGACCACTCTTCGGGTTCTGCTGCACGTCGCCGCTCAGCGTGACTACGAGCTCCACACTCTTGACTTCAGCACTGCGTTCTTACAGGGCAGCCTGCACGAGGAGATCTGGCTGCGCCGCCCACCTGGCTTCACTGGGTCGTTCCCTCCTGGTACCCAGTGGAGCCTCCGGCGGCCAGTCTACGGTCTCCGCCAGGCACCCCGTGAGTGGCACGACACACTGAGGACTACTCTTGCTGCTCTTGGGTTTGCTCCTTCTACTGCTGACCCGTCGCTGTTTCTACGCACCGACACCACTCTGCCGCCGTTCTACGTTCTCGTGTACGTAGACGACTTGGTCTTTGCTACTGCTGACACTGAGGCTCTCGCCCACGTGAAGTCGGAGCTGCAGAAGAGACACACGTGCACAGACCTGGGTGAGCTGACAAGCTATCTTGGCTTGCGGATCACCCGGGACAGAGCACAGCGCACCATCACCTTGACTCAGTCACACATGGTGCAGCAGGTCCTTCAGCGCTTCCGCTTCACGTACTCCTCGCCTCAGCCCACTCCTCTGCCTACCGGTCACTCACTCTCAGCTCTGCCTTCGAATGAGTCCGTAGAGCCGAGTGGCCCGTATCCAGAGCTTGTGGGCTGCCTCATGTACCTGATGACCTGCACTCGACCTGACCTTGCATACCCTCTTAGCATCCTAGCACGCTATGTCGCTCCTGGCCGTCACCGGAAGGAGCACATGGATGCCGCTAAGAGGGTGTTGCGCTACTTGTGCAGTACGTCGGGCATGGGGCTTGTGCTTGGAGGACGGACTCGGGTTGTCCTCACAGGGCACTCAGACGCTTCTTGGGCTGACGACCAGGCTACTCAGCGGTCGTCTCAGGGTTACACCTTCAGTCTTGGCTCTGGTTCAGTCTCTTGGCGTTCTACACGCTCGTCTTCAGTTCTCAGCTCCAGTTGTGAGGCTGAGATCTACGCCACAGCCATGGCTGCACAGGAGTTACGCTGGCTCACCTACCTGCTGACCGACCTGGGAGAGCGGCCTCGTTCTCCTCCAGTGCTGTACGTCGACAACAAGGCCGCCATTGCCTTGTGTCAGGAGCACAGACTGGAGCACAGAACGAAGCCCATCGCTCTGTGCTACTTCCTTGCTCGAGAGTTGCAGCAGCGTGGTCAGCTTCGTCTTGCGTACGTGGCCACTCGGGCCAACACTGCTGATGTGTTCACCAAGGCGCTTCAGCCTTGTGATCATCAGCATTTCTGTACTGTTCTCGGCCTTGTGCCTACTGTCCCTCACTTGCTCACTGTCCCTCACCAAGGAGCAGCCTCGAACTTATCGAAGGTTGACAGTATCATCTGCGCCCTCCACACTCCACATGAGCTCCCCCCTCGTAAGGTTCAGGTGCCCCTTCAGGTGTTTTTTTTTTTTCATGGCTCGTGTGGTGCTGTTGTGGGCTCACATGCACACTTGCAGTGTTTGTTTTTTGCACTGCACTTGCACTTGCTTTCGCTGCTGCCATGCACTCACTCCTCCCCCCCTCTCCCTTGGTTTGACTGGCAGGTTTTCTTTGCCTCGGCCAATCCTCCTCTGCTCTGCCAACGCTCAAGTTTCTAGTCTCAACTCGGTGGCGTTCAACGGAGCAGCAGGAGGCCTGTAGGAGCTCCTCATGGAGGGCTGTTGTGGAGGGCTGTTGTGGAGGGCTGTTGTGGAGGGCTGCTATGGCGGGCTGCTGTGGCGGGCTGCTGTGGCGGGCTGCTGTGGCGGGCTGCTGTGGCGGGCTGCTGTGGAGAAGCTCCCAACCCACTGAAGGGTTAAGGTTGCAAGTATCCCTTCCCACCTCCACACACCACAAGAGCCCCCCCTTCCCTGTTTGGTAAAGGTTGAGGTTGAGGTACGGTAAAGGTTGAGGTGGCCCTTGAGGTATCTTCTCTGGTTGTTGGCTCTTGCGGTGCACCTTGCACGCTCACCACTCACTCACTCCCCACACCACTCTTGCACAGCTCTCACTTCGTTTTCCTTGCAGCCATGGTTTCCTTGCACTCACTCTCTTCCTTTCTCTGCCTCTCCTCTTCATGGGCAGGTTGGGGTTCAGGTGAAGGTTCAGGTGAGGGTGAGAGGTGGAGGTACGAGGTGTGGTACTTGGCTTGTATGGAGGGCGTGGTTGGCATGGCACAGCAGCATACCCCATCTCATGCCATCCCATGCTCACACACACCATCACCCATTCTCCCCCTTCTCTCATCCATAGCGGCCCTTCACTCACTCCTGCTCACTTCCCTCTTTCCTCCCTTCTACCCTTCCCTTTCCCCCCCTGACTGTCAGGCTCTCTGCTTCAAGCCTGTTCAAGGTGCAACAGCAAGGTGAAGAAGCAAGGCGCAGCAGCAAGGGGCAGCAAAGAGCAGCAAGTAGCAGCAGGGCACCATCAACGCTCCACACAAAGATAAGCCCACACCCCTTGGTTTCATACCCTCTCCGTTTCTGTTTCAGCTTGAGCACCAATGCTCCCTGCACTGTCTTCCCCCCATCCGCCCTCCCCCTTGCTGTCATGCCAACCATCCCTCCACAGAGCCTTCCCCCTTGGTGAAGGTTCAGGTTTCTTTTCAGGTAGAGGTTCAGGTTATGGGTCAGGTGAAAGGTCAAGGTTTGGTACTTGGCTCCTGTGGAGGGAGCGTTGGCCGCTGCACTCATGCCATCCCATGCTCTCGCCATCACCCACTGCACATGCACTCATTTCACCCCTTGTGTCCTCCACAGCTTCCCTTCACTCACTCCCGCTCCCTTCCCTCTTCCCTCCCCCCGTCCTCACCCTATCCCTCCCTGACTGTCAGGCTCGTTGCTCCAAGCCCCTACTGGAGTGCAAGGCGCAGCAGCAAGGCACAGTAGCAAGGCACAGGAGTAAGGCCCAACAAAGCACCATCAACGCTCCACACAAAGATAAGCTCACAACCCTGGTTTCATACCCGCTCCATTTCTGTTTCAGCTAAATCTCTTCTTTGAGCCCACATCTCAACATTCGCTGCACTGCCATTCCCCCATTCTCCTTCCTCCTCGCTGTCATGCCAACCACCCCTCCACAGAGCTTCCCCCCTTGGTGAAGGTACAGGTTTCTTTTCAGATATAGAGGTTCAGGTTGTGGTTCAAGTGGGAAGGTGAAGGTGTGGTACTTGGCTCCTGTGGAGGGTGTGGAGGGTGTGGAGGGTGTGGAGGGTACTGCACCATGCCCCATCTCATGCCATCCCATCCTCTCACCATCATCCACCCACCATCTTATGCATTTCACCGCGTGTGTCCTCCGTACCTTCCCTTCACTCATTCCCACTCGCACCCCTCTTCCCTCCCCCCTGTCCTTCCCATATTCCCCCCCTGACTGTCAGGCTCTCTGCTCCAACCCTCTTCTACGGAGTCTTAGGAGAAAGGCGCAGGAGCAAGGCCCAACAAGGCACCCTCAACGCTCCAAACAAAGATAAGTCCACACCCCTGGTTTCACAACCACTCTATGAAACCGATGTTCCCTGCATGCACTGTCATCCCCCATCATCTCTCCCCGTTGCTGTCGTGCCAACCACCCCTCCACAGAGCCCCTTCCCTTGGTAAAGGTTCAGGTTTTTTCTCAGGTAGAGGTTCAGGTTATGGTTCGGGTGCAAGGTGAGGTTTGGTAATTGGCTCCTGTGGAGGGAGTGTTGGCACTGCACCATGCCCCATGTGACCGTGTCATGCCATCGGATGCGCTCGCCATCACCCACTGCACATGCACGCATTCCCCCACTTGACTCCTCGATAGCCTCCCTTCACTAATTTCTGTTCCCTCCCTCTTCCTTCCCCCCCTGCCCTTCCCATACCCCTCCTTGACTGCCAGCCTCTCCTCTCCAAGCCTCTTCTGGAGTCCAAGTCTCAGCAGCAAGGCGCGGGAGCATGGCGCAGGTGCATGGCGCAGGAGCATGGCGCAGCAATGCACGCACCTTCAACGCTCCACACAAAGATAAGCCCACACCCCTGGCTTAATACCCGCTCCGTTTCTATTTCAGCTCAATCTCTACTTTGAGCCCACATCCCAACATTCGCTGCACTGCCATACCCCCCCATGCGCATTCCTCCTTGCTGTCATGCCATCCACCCCTCCACAGAGCCTCCCCCTTTGGTTAAGGTTCAGGTTTTTTTCTGGGTGAAGGTTCAGGTCAGGTAAAGGTTCAGGTTATGGTTCAGGTGGAAGGTGAAGGTTTGGTACTCGGCTCCTGTGGAGGGTTGGCACTGCACCACCGCCCCATGTCACGCCACATGCACATGAATCCATATGCACGCATTCCGCCCATTTCCCTCCACCTGTGTCCTCCAAAGCTTCCCTCTAATCACCCCCGCACCCTCCCCTCGTCCCTCCCCCCGCCCTTCTTCTATCTCCCCCTTCTGCCAGGACCTGTCTTCCCCTCGAAGCCTGTCTCGCAACTCGGTGCAGCAGCAAGGCACCCTCAACGCTTTTTGAAACGTCTCAAAACTCAACGCTCCACACAAAGATAAGCCCACACCCTTGGTTTGTAGTCCCCTCAGTGCCGCATTTCAATGTCTCCTGCACCAACGTCCCTGCACCACCCTCCCCCCTTGCCCCTTCCTCCTTGCTTCATGCCAATCACCCCTCCACTGAGCCTCCCCCCGCTATGGTTATGGTTAAGGTAGGGTAAAGGTTCAGGTTACGGTTCAGGTTATGGTTCAGGTGGTGGAAGGTGAAGGTTTGGTACTTGGCTCCTGTGGAGGGCGTGTTGGCACTGCACCATGCCCCGTCTCGTCTCATCTCATGCCATGCTCTCACCGCGCTCATACCGCCACCCACCCTTCACATGAATCCTGGCCGTGCACTCACTTTCTTCTCCTCCCGCCCGCCCTTGCCTGCTCGCCTGGCAGATGCTCCTTCCCAGCGCCCCTGCTCGCCCAAGGGTCAGCAAAAGGGAAAGCTCACGGGTCAACTCGCCGGCCCACAGCCCTGCCAGGGGGCGCCTCTCCCTGCTCCTCCTGTCTGTGTGAGTGCCATCCTCCCCCTTGCTTCACTTGCTCTGCTCCTCACTTGTGCTTGCTTCATGCTGCTGCTGCATCCACTTGCTCCTAATGCTCCCCCATGCCCCTCCCCTGTGGCCGTGCAGGTATGCACGGGAATGGGAGGAAGGCAGCACTGCAGCAGACTTGAATCGCTGCCACGAGGGAGAGTATGGGGGTGGGCTTGGCCTCTCAAGGTGCCTCAGCTCCCCTCCTTGGCCTCATCCCTCCTCCCTCCTGTTCTGTATCTGCTGCAGCTGTCTCTTTGTTCTTTCCATTCTCGTTTCTGTCAGCTTGAGTCTCCTCCTTGTTTCTGCCAACTCACCTGTTCCTCCTTCTGCCCTTCCTCTCCTGTCCCCCCTCTCCACTTTCTATGCCCGCTACCAGGTCACTTGGCAGCGAGCGAAGACTGTAGCAGAGGAAGCTGAGTAGCAGACCGGCAGCAGCAGTTGCAGCAGCAGCAGAAGCAGCAGCAGCAGCAGTGGGGGGTGAGGGGCTAGGCTAGGCTAGGTCAAGGTGTGGGAGGTTTGGTAAAAGGTGTGGTAAGGTACCAGGTGGGTATGGTGATCTGATTCCCTCCCCTCTGTTTCTCCCCCGTTTCTTCCCTGAAGCTGGAGAGTGGGAGCACTGAGCAAGGGCGGAGTGGGGAGTCGACCCTCTCACTCACCTCCTCTCTCCCTTTTCCCTTCCCTCCCAGCAGCACCCTGCCTGACCACAGTGGAGTCTCGCCCTTTGTTAATCCCCCCCCCCCCTCCCCTCCCACTTCCCAGCAGCCTCAGGCATGGCTGCATGGTAGGTAGAGGTAAAGAGGCATGCGGTGAAGGGAGGTGTGTGGGTGGGTGGGTGGGAAGCATGGGAGCAAGCGGGCAGTTCACTTCCTTAGGGGCAGTATCCCTTAGGGTTGTGGCTTGTGGGTCGGGGTGTGGTTGGTGGAATCTGCGCGGCACGGCACTCAGTGCTCAAGTAACCGATCTGGCGTTTAAGGCTTAATGGACACCGTCAGAGCCGACCGGCCGGCGGCTCTGGTTCGCGTCAGCTCTAGCTACGCCAGGGGTGGGATTTGAGTCTTGGGCTGGAAACGATTTTCCACTGCCACACTTTGCCTCACAAGGCACAGCCACTTGGGGTGCTGTTTTCAAAAGGGAGTGGGCTGTGTGCTGCTCCTACTGCTGGCAGGTGAAGGCTGGAAGTGGTTGGGGGGCTGGACATAATGTGGTGTGACATATTATGGTTAGACATAGTGTGGTATGATATAGTGTGGTATGGCATAGTATGGTGTGACATAGTGTGGCGTGATACAGTGTGGTGTGATATAGTGTGGTGTGACATACTGTGGTGTGATATAGTGTGGCGTGGCATAGTGTGGTGTGATTTATTGTGGTGTGACATAGTCTGGTGCGGCATGATATGGCATGATACTGTGTGTGTGATGGAGTGTGGTATCACACAGTGCAGGATGATACAGTGTGGGATGATACAGTGTGGTACGATAAAGTGTGGTATGATACAGTGGGGTGGTCCTGTGTGGTATGATATAGTGTGGTATGGTATAGTGTGGTAAATAATGTAGTGTGTGACTTGTGGTATGACACTGTGTTGTGATGCAATGTGGTGTGATAATGTGTGCTGTTATAGTATGCTATGATAGTGTTTGGCGTGATACAGTGTGGTATAACACAGTGTGGCATACTGTGTGGTATGGTACAATGTGTTATGATAGTGTGTGATAGATCGTAATATGATACAGTGTGGTATGATGCAGTGTGGTATAATTGTATGTGGTGTGATACAGTGTGTTGCGATACAGTATGGTGTGATTCATTGTGGTGTGAGACGGTGTGGTATGATGTAGTGCGGTATGATACAGTGTGGTATTGTTTGGTGTAGCATGCCACAGTGTGGTATGTTACAGTTTGTAGTGATACAGTGTTGTGTGATACGATGTTGTTTGAAACAGTGTGGCATGTGGTTTGATGCGTTTGGTGCGATGTAGTGTGGCATGATTCGATTGGTGTGGCATGCGGTTTCATGTGGTGTGATATGTAGTGTTGTGGTTTGCAATAGTATATTATGGCATGGTGACACATAAAGTGTCTTGTGTGAGATTGTTTGGTGCTGTATGGTGTGACAGTTTTTCATTGCATGGTGTGGCATGGCATCATGTTGCATTGCATGGTGTCAGGTGTCATGGTGTGGCATGTCGTGCTGTGCCATGTCATGGTGTGGCATGTCATGCTGTGCCATGTCATGGTGTGGCATATCATGCTGTGCCATTTCATGCTTTGCCATGTCATGCTGTGGCTTGTCATGATGTGGTATGTTGTGGTGTGGCATGTCATCATGCCATCTGCAGGCTGGCAGCAGCTGGAGTGGAGCAGAGCACTGTGGAAGGCAAGGAGGACAATGTGGGAGGGAGGAGGGAGAGGCTGGCGGAGTGGATGAGTGTGGCGTGTGACAAGCATGGCTGCCTCAGCTACCATGCCATGCATACAGTGCCTCATGGCACAGTGCTGCTGGTCATAGAAGCCATTGAGTGGGTCAGTTGGTTGTGGTTTTTTTTTCATATATTTATCTTCATTAGAATGAGCGAATGCTCTGCATCTGAAATTTGAGTTTCTGTTCTCGAAACAAATGGCTGTCTAATATGCAAATGACCCGATTGTTGCAAGTAGTTGCCAACAAATGTTCCAGAATATAGTACGGTAGTAGCGCTTATCGCGTACGCTGATTCTTTCAAGACCTTTCTGGTGCACACCGACTAGCGCCTAGACATTCTCGAGGTACAGATTTTCGGAGCCTCAGCCATCCTCAAGCAGCACAAGCACTTCTTTCGACCGCCTTCCAGCTTCTCCTAGAAACTTCACGACCCGGTGCTGTCGGGAGGGTCGTTCCAGCTTCGATGCTCCAGAGACATCCTGTGCCTTTCAGAGCCATGGCCTCGCCAACTTCTAGACTTCCTTACGTTCTGAGCGAACCGCCTTTTGTTTTCGAGCAATCAGTTGTTCCTATGGGGCCAACGGATCTCCACTCGAGTGTCATCAAATCATAGATTAAAACAGCGTTCTTCAAGCATAGCTCTCACAAGCTACTTCTCATACGTTCTTAACAGCGTCCTCACAGTTTCTCAGCCTTCGGTCGCTTGACAATTCGAGTGTTTCAGCCAGTCACAGCACAATACGCCATGGCGCTCACAGTGTTCAGTACCAATCGAACGCTCAACTCGCTTCTCCGGTTATCGCACATCCCAGACGAGTTCAGCGCTCTCTTCGACGCTCCGACGTCAAATTTCGTGAAAGACAGGAGCGCAATGGCGTGTACAGCCGTCCACGTTAAAGAGACTCCCGAGGCTTTCCAATTCATCGCGAATCTCCCGGGGCTGAAGAAAGACCAGGTGAAGGTTCAAATCGAAGATAAGAATCTCCTCACCATCAGCGGCGAGCGGAGTCGCGAAGTGACAGAAAACTCGGAGAAGTATCACCGTGTGGAGCGGAGCACAGGCAAGTTCCTGAGGCGATTCCGTCTTCCTGGTAACGTGGAAGTGGATAAGATCGCTGCGAGCTCCGAGAATGGTGTTCTCACCGTGACAGTGCCGAAGACCAAGCCACCAGAGCCGAAGAAGCCGGCTGTTGTAGATGTTCCCATCAACTAGCGGGCCAATGAACTGATACGGTGGGGTTGTATCTGTGGCTTTGCTGGTTGTGGTCCCTCTGTTACCTGCAGCCGCTGGGTGGAGTAATGTTGAGCGAGAAGGTTGATTCACGTGCTGTATCTTGAGATCTGTGAACCTAATCACAACGGCTTCACATGAGTCTTGTATAGCTGTTCACCAGCCCACTCCACATGGAATGAATGAACCCGCTAGCAGGGAAGTTCTACACAAATAACAGGTGTAACAATATCAGCGCTGTATGGTAGTGCTCAACTGCCAAGGAACCGTAAAGCAAAGGGTGTACTGAGAACAGGATATCCAACCATGCACGCGGATCACAGCAGATCAGATTCCTGGCTTTGATGAGTACCAGCAAAGGACAGGACCGTTCAGAGCAAACCAATAGGTACTCAAAGAAACCAATCTCTAAATCGGGTACAGTAGTACGGTAACACTGGTAACCATGTGCTGTAGATAGGGCAGTAGTAACACTGGTTACCATGTGCTTTAGACAGGGCTGTAACACCGGTTCCCAACCAAACAGGCAGCTGCAGGAGCAGGTACCCTGAAGGTCCGTGTTTATACACTCCCACCATGTCACATGCCATGCCGATGACAGGGTTTTGCGTTGAGCTAGATAGGGCAGTAACACTGGTTACTATGTGGTCTAGATAGGGCAGTAGCACTGGTTGCCAAACAAGCAGCTGCAAGCACAGGTGCCCTGAAGGTCTTTGTTTATGCACTCCCACCGAGTCACTTGCCAGGACGATGGGGGTGGTGGCGAGGGAGGGGGGGGAGAGGGAGGAGGGGGAGGAGGCGGGTTGGGAGGCGGAGAGGGGGGAGGAGGTGGGGGGGAAGGAGGCTGGGGAGGAGGAGAGGGAGGAGGAGGGCCCGCTGTAGATTGGCAAGGGGAGAGAGGAATGGGGTTGGAGGGTGAGAGGAGGGGAAGAGGAGGGAAAGAAGAGGGAAAGGGGAAAGAAAACGGATGGGGAGAGGAGGGAAAGAGGGACGGGAAGAGACGGAGAGGGGAAAGCAACGGGAAAGTGGAAGGGATGAGAGGGGGAAACGTTTGATGAGCATGCGTTGAACGAAACATAAAAGTGAGCCATAAGCAAGTGAAGCTGTGAGAGCAAAGCAACAGAACGAGTCAGACTCAGAAACACGCCTCTCACTTCAGATGAGAAGGTCAAAAGAAAGAAAGAAAGAAAAATAAAGCGGAAAACGATGCTTGAAAAGAGAAACACGATTGTGAAACATCAATCAAGAGGAGAAGTCTGAGAAGCAACTTACGCTTCCGAATGCATGTCAAGCCGTCAGTAGATAAGGTATACAGCGCAGTGTTGCAGCTACACTTGTACTGCACTGTAGCTGTTCCCGCTGTTGCTGAGACTGTTGCCGTGGCAATACACACCCCTCCGCCGAACCCACACTGCTCGTTCACAGCCGCGCTGTCCGAACCTGAGAAGTTGGTTCGGCAGAAGGCTTGGCACTGAAATACGGGACGCTGAGGCTGGTCCGGGGGGTAGCTAGGGTCGGTGCAAGGGGGGGAGACGAGGTAGGAAAGGCAGTTGTTGGTGGTGTTGACAGGGACGGCTTCGGAGGGGCACATGGGGTTGCTGGCGGCGTCGTATGCGTTACCGCGGCCGAAGAAATAGTTGGAGGAGAGGTCGAGAGAGAGGACAGCAGAGGCCGAGGGGAGCGATGGGAGGGGACCCGTGAAGTAGTTGCGCGATAGGTTGCTGGTGCGGGGGGTGTGGGGGGAAGAGGAGGGGGGACGGGGAGGGAATGGGGGGTGAGATAGGGAATGGGGAGTGAGAGAGAGATTAGGGAGTGAGGGAGGGCGGGAGAAACTGGAGTAGCTGTGAGAGAATCGCTGGGCGGGAGGGGAGGGCATTTCCAAAGGGTAATCCGGTACAGCATTTCATCAAGGCCGCAGAGAGGTGTGTGATGGTGTGACATGCAACCATGCTCAGACGCACAGACTGGAACCAAGTCTTGAAGCGTGTCAAAAGACCAAACGTCAGACGTACAGATAGACTTTTGAGGCACCTCAAAAGGTACAGATAGACTTTTGAGGCACCTCAAAAGGTGTGGTCGTGTGACATACATGCAACCATACTCAGACGCACCGACTGGAACCAACTCTCGAAGCGCGTCTAAAGACAAAACGTCAGACGCACAGATAGGCGAGCGAGGACATGCTGGTGATGAGCGTGGCGGGGTTGTTGTTGAAATAGTTGCCACTCACGTCCCTGCAGGGCGGATGGGGATGACAAGGAAGAGGTTGCGGGGAGGATGGGATTGAGTGTGGTAGGGTAAGGTGGTGGGAGACGAGATGGAGTGCGTGAGGGTTGTTGCTTTGAGAGTTGCCACAGACGTTCCTGCAGGGTGGTTGGGCGTGAGAGGGGTAGGGAGGGTTGCAGGGAGGACAG